AATCTCTGTTAAAAGCCATCTACTTGTGGTATTTCTATTACAGCAGCACTAGATAACTAAGACAATGGTCATTAGAAACAGTATTTTCATATATCAAGTAGCCCACAAATATTAACAAGGCAGGTTGCAAATACTCTACCACCAAAATAATGCAATTATAATATGTATTTCAATACTTATGTTGATTAAAGGTTTTTGGTTAGCAAAGGCTGTTTCAACTCACTTTATTAAAAACCACATGTAAGTTTCATACTTAAGAAATAGTATCTTCCTGTATAAATAAGATTTTGTTCTATTCGGTATGTCTACAGCCAAGATACTTCTGAAAAGAGGATGCTATTAATAATTATATTAGGACAACATCAGTAATATCCTATGATCACCCAAATTCCAGCATTCAATGTTTCTTTCCATAAGCTAAATAACTACTTAATAATTAGATATTACTTTAAAAAACAAAAAAGAAACAGTTGCCATTGAGTCAATACTGACTTATGGCAGCCCATATATGTCCAAGTAGAACTGTACTCCATAAGGTGTTGAATGGCTAGTTTTTCTGAAGTCAATCACCAGACTTTTCTTCCAAGTCATTTCTGGGTGGACTTGAACTCACAATTTTTCAATTAACAAGTAAGTTCATTAACGATTTGCTCCACCCATGGGCTCCAATTAATTATTATAAAGCAACCCTTCATGCCTGGAAATAAACTTAACCCCCACGACTCAACTTTCAGCCCACAATAAATATGCCTATCATGAATAGTAATACCAAGAGGGTAGGCACTCATTAGAACAATCAAGCACATGAGATCCCAATAGCAGCATTTTCCCAGGGACAGAGCTAGAAAGGAGGGATATAGGGGGGATGGAAGAAGGGAAGGGGTGGGTATAAGGGGGAAGGGGTGGGTACAAGAGGGAAGGGGTGGGTACAAGGAGGAAGTGAGAAAAATGCTGTCACAATGCGGAGATTCCAGGAAATGTCACAAAACAGAATGTGTATGGATTGTTGAATGGAAAACCAATTTGCTCTGTAACCTTTCACCCAAATCACAACAAAATAAATAAATAAATATTACAAAGTAATTATTTTAATTAGCAAAAAATAGAAGTAGAATGGGAAGAGCTTTAGTTTCAAAGTTATAAGTCACATTATTTACTTGTCAGGAGAACTTGGGAAAAATCAATTAACCTTTCTGAGGTTCATTTTTACATCTACAAAATGAGGATAGTTAAATTGCCTTGCTAATTTTAAAGAGTTTGTTTGAAAATCAAATAACAATAGAAAAAAGACTTTAAAATACAGTAATATAAAATATTATATGACACTGCTATATAGATTACCAATCAATTTGCTGGGATCAGTAAAATTATTGATTTAACAGTTTACTTAGTTTTCCTGGATTCATTTTGTGTTCCTTTTGTTAATTAATTAGGAATATATTGGCAGAATCTATACCCCCAAGGGAATTACATAAGCTAACACAAAATAAAATATTCCCTTTGGATAAAGGGACAAGAAGTCACAGAAATCCTAAGTGGCTGCTAGAAGGGACAGCAAACAAGTTTCACCTGGCTTGCAAATGCTACTCAATTATTAGTGTTATGTGGAGCCCCATACTAGAAAGGCTTCAATAGCAGGGTACAAGCACTGCTTATTAATGTCTGCCATTAAAGTGAGAGGGGCAAATAGTGTGTGCCTAGCAAGCATTTCGCATTGCTGATTTATCTAATTCACGATATTGGTGAATAATTATTAATAGAGAGCTATAAAACCTTATGGAATAGATTGTATCATTATCTGCATATACATTACCAACTAAAGGTAATTTGTGCAAGATAACTATTTTAAAGAGTGAAGCAAAACTGGAATTCTAAGGGGTCTAACTACAAAGTTGTGCTCACAATCACTAGCCATACTGTTATGTTTATACTGTGCTTGAAACATACAGTTTATTTGAGACTCACACTCCCATTAATTTTTCAGCGATTTCATTGGCAATGGTAACTATGCAAGAATAAACTTGAGGACTAAATTGTGTCATTAAGAGGAGTTCAGATTCTGCAAACTTAACTTCTGTTATCAGCTGTTTCCTATTAGGTTCTACAGGCAGGAGGAAAGAAAACAAGACAATCACTCCTTCCTGATGGCCTGCTGTTCCTACAGGTAATGGGCATTTAGGCCAGCATCAGAAGCTGGTCTCTAGCTTCTTCAAGCATTCCCCAAATCAGTCTCATTGTATTGGTATTTCAAATACCAGCAGGGTCACCACCAGGTTTCAACAGAGCTTCCAGACAAAGACAGACTGAGAAGAAGGACAGGGCTGTCCACGTCTAAAAAAGTTGGCCACTTAAAACTTTATGAACAGCAGTGAAACATTATCTGATATAGTGCTGAAAGATGAGCCCCTCAGGTTGGAAGGCACTCAAAATATGACTGGGAAGAGCTACCTCCTCAAAGTAGAGTCAGCTGACTTTTATGACGTGGATGAACCTACATTTGCTAATGAGGCATGACTCAAAATGGGAAGAAACAGCTGCAAACATGCATTAATAATCAGAACATGGAATGCACAAAGCATGAGTATAGGAAAATTAGAAGTTGTCAAAAATGAAATGGAACACATAAAGATTGATATCCTAGATATTAGTGAGCTGAAATTGACTGGTATTGGTCACTTAGAATCAGACAATCATATGATCTACTATGCTGGGAATGACAAACTGAAGAGGAATTACAACACATGCATTGTCAAAAAGAACATTTCTAGATGCATCCTGAAGTACAATGCTGGCAGTGATAGGATAATATTCATATGCCTACAAAGACGACCAGTTAATACTACCATTATTTAAATTTACATACCAACCACTAAAGCCAAAGGTGAAGAAATAGTTTTTTACCAACTTCTGCAGTCTGAAACTGACCAAACATGCAGCCAAAATGTACTGATTATTGCTGGTGATTGGAATGTGAAAGGTAGAAACAAAGAAGAATCACAGGTAGTTGAAAAATATGGCCTTGATGAAAGAAATGAATTCAAACACAGTGGAGAGAGTAGGAGAACCATGTGGAATAAAAAATCATAAAAGACGACCAGGTTTTCTGGTCTGATAGAGCCTATGAGACCACCAAGACTATGGCCCCTAGTTATCCTTCAGGTCTGGAACTGAATTCATTTCTGTGGCTTCCAGCCAAACAACAGACATACAGGGTGAATATTTACATCAGGTAAACACACTCCTTGGTATAACTAATCAATCAATCATGGAAGAACAGAAGGGCAGCATTTATACAAGGAAATAGCTCGGGGCTGGGGGCAGGAGTGCACAGGAGGGAAGGACACAGGGAAGAGGTAACTATAGGGAGAAAGTGGGAAGAGAGCTGTTACACTGTGGAAAATTGCAGTCAATGTCATGAAACAAAATGTGTATGTAATGCTACATGGAAAATGAATTTGCTCTGCAAACTTTCACCCAAATCACAACAACAACAAAAAAAAAAAGACAAATGACTTTGAGATCTTGCCTAATTAACATTAAAAAAGACAGCGATTCTTAAATGGTACTATAACCACAGTATAAACCAAAAAGCCAAACCCACTGCCCTTGAGTAGATTCTGACTCAGAGATTAGGATTTACAACTATTTTGGGAAACAGAGTTCAATCCATAACAGGCCTCTTGTCAGAAAGCTGTCTGCTGGGGGCAATTCTCCAACAACTACTTGAACAATTTGCTGTTTCAGATTATCTTTGTTATTACCTACTGTGGTTTCTATTTTCTTGAGTGAACCCTGACTCACATAATAAATAGTGTATGATCAAAGAGCCTTTATTATAAAGAACTCTTTTAAAATTATTTTCTTAATAAGAGTTTAAGTAGATTACATATTTCCCAAAGTGAATGGGTATCCTAAATATTGTTCCTTCATAATGAACATACCTGACCTACAAGTCCAAATGAACGGTCTAAGCTCCTCTGGTCGATGTATTTTCTGATTTTATTATGTAACCATCCCAACTCAGCAAGTCTGATTGTCGTATCTCTCAAGGATTTATTTATGTTTGCCTAAAAAGCAAATATATAAAGAGTTAAAAATTCAATTATCAACCCCAGAGTTTTAATTACCATTTTCCACAACTAACTGCACTTTTAATCATTCTTATTTCAATATGTGAGACTTAAAACTAATATACATTATCAATAGTGAAAACAGTGAGAAAGGAAACAAGAAAACATCAGCTGACAGGCAAGAATTTAAAATACTTTGAAGTAAACCTTGAAACTTCTGTAATGTCATTCCCTAAAGAGTGATTTACTCAGGATCTACAATTTTCCCTCAATATGACAAAATCTGTAACATTTATTTATAAAACAAGCTAAGAGTCATGGCAAAACATTCCATAAAAATGAGAAGGGGCTTTGGTAAGTATTTTATCTTCATTTCTATTTCTGGAAGATAAAAACAAAAGCAAAGACATCTTATCCAGAATTCTCTATTAATGGCAAAGATACCAAATTGTATTACCAAATGTATTGTAAAGGCACCTCTGAAATTATGATAGCAATATATAAAAATAATTTAAAATGTATAGAGATATCAGAGAATCCAAGGGGTAAAAAGGAATGAAAGGAAAAGAAAGCAAATATTGATTACAAAGACTGTTCCAGGAACAAAATCACGCAAACCCAAAACTAGACAAAGAAATACAAACCAAAATTTAACAAATCAACTAGACTGACACCTCACAAATCAATAGCTATTTGGTCTTAAGGACACTTTTTTAAAATATCTGAAACTGCACTTTATGTTACTGTACCTTTCCTTCCGCTTTATAACAATTTTCAGTGTTGTTCATTTTTATGATTTTTCCATCTATACCCTGGAAGACGTACAAAATGTCTCTTACAAGGGCTGCTTCAGTTATTTCCACAGTGCCTATATAATGATTTTAAAAAGGAAATAATCACTAAACAAAACATTTTAAGATGAAATAAATTTTATGAAACAATAGCTTTAGATTATATTTGCCACCAGGACAGTATTTACAAACTCAACAAATGAGCTTAAAAAGAAAAAGAGAGTATAAGGTTAGAAACCAACAAGAATTATTCTGAAAAGGGACTGCAAAAGAAGCAATTTCTTATCTAAAGGTCTTTTAAAAAGACAAGGATAATTGGGAACTTAATATATAGTTAAGGCAACATCACAAATCAATAACAAAAGGATGTATTATTTAATAGATGTTGTATGGCAACTGTATCCCTACTTATCACCATATAAACAGGCGACTCTATCCAGCAAGGGAGTTGTCAAGCTGTGGTCTGTGGTCTCCTAGGCAAAAGTACCTGTGCATCTGAATGGTAAACTGAACTACTTTTTTTACTTGAATGACTGACAAAGTGTGATTATTCAGACTTAGGTATCTGGCAGACATTTTCCCCAGAGTGAGCCTGTCACTTTAAGAAAAATAATTGACATTATTTGTTGCCAATGATAAACTGAAGCTTTCAAACAAAAATTAGAATTTAAGAAAACATGTATGCTCTACCATGAGCTTGACAGTATCACAATATACTAAAACTTTCTGATTTGATTTTTCAACATGGCTTAATTAAATAAAACAGTATCTAGAAAATACACATAACTCAGTTGACCAGTATTTTCAAATGACCCATGTTAATGTTACATGGATCATGCATGGGTAAAAAGATCTTTTCAAAGTGCTAGACAGACCAATCTAACAGAAGTCAAAAAGTTCAGTGATAGGGTTTAAGATTCCACAATGCAACTAACTTTTAGAAAACACCACTTCTCAAGTTTTTGTGTAGTAGCCAAAACAATATCCATAGTAATCTGAAAAGGCTATTAAAATACTCCTCCTTATTTCTAAAGTACTTAATAGCACAGAAGAGATATTTATAGTTTCCATAATTCCTTTTAACTAAACCTAAGTCAGAATTAGTCAAAATTACTCAAAGTCAAAATTCTGACTTTGTTTAAGTCAGAATTAAACAAAAACAAAAAAGACGAGGCAATGCCCAGAAACTTGTAACACCAGAGGGAGGAGAGAGAAACCTGGTGTTTTGGTTACCTAGTGCCCCTCTTAACAGAAATACCACAAATGGGATGGTTTTAACAAATACTTTATTCCTTTATAGTTTTGGAGGCTAGAAGTACAAGTTCAATGTGTCAGGCTCTAGGAGCTGGGTGAAAGCCCCTCAACCTTGGGCTTCAGCTCTGCCTCCTGCTTCTGGCCCACTGAAGCTGGAGGCTTTTCTTCACTCAGACAGCTGCTGGCTGCTGAGGCTGACAAGCCCAAGGTTGACAAGTAAAAAGGCACAGTCCCGA